TCTATCTATCTATCTATCTATCTATCTATCTATCTATCTACCCATCTATCTAGAAGCTTTGAGACGATTCAGTGGCGGACACCTGTGTTGAGTTCATCTCGGAATGTATGGAAAAATCTCAATTCTCCAAACTGTATTTTAAGACTCTAAGAAGGAATCGAATTTGTATCAACCACCAAACCTTCATATGCTAAGATGTTATTGAAAAAGATGTATTGGTCGGACATATCGAGGAACTATGTAGAAACTCTGCCAAATCCACTCTCGTTCTAAATTCACTGTCGTACGAGGAACGTAATCGTTAGGAGTCATTCGTGGAATTAATGGTGAGGAAGCAAATCGAACGAAAGCACAACATTCTACGAAAGCGATTATATCCTGCGAAACACAATGAGTTCCCGAACAACCCTGAAAGATATGCGCACAATTTTTCCTCTTTGAAGTTAAACAAATTGTTGGTCGAGGTTCTGCTTCTAGAACCTCAATTTTGTTGTCTAATCGGTAGAAGAACTGGATCTAGAAGTAGAGTTCGAAAACCTTTTCTCACAACTGTTAGATTAATCGACTTCTTCATCACAAAATGCGGCTCAGTTGAAATCCACGCTAGTGGACGCATACTATTATCTACTCGGTAGCAAACCGGTGATCAAAGATCTAGCGACATCACAACACCGAGAACGGTTAAAAGCACTGAGGAATAATCATGATGTAATTCTATGCAGACCAGGTCAGGGTACAGGAGTTGTCCTGTTGAACAGATCAGACTACGTGTTCAAGATGGATAACATACTCAGTGACAACACAAAGTTCAAGAAGATGACCGGTGAAAAGGATAAAACGGAACAAATGGAGCAGAAACTGTCAAAGATAATCGTACTAATCCGACCGATTGGAACGACAATCCTAAGGTTGTATGGTTTACCCAAAGTACACAAAGATGGAATACCCTTCTGGCCAATTTCAGACATGTGTAATTCCCCGTATCATGCAATGGCCAAATGGCTTGTGACAATTTTCTATCCAGTGAGAGCCACCCTTGCTAGTCACACTTTACCGGACTCTTTCGCCTTGCTAGGTGTAATCGGAAACGTAAATGTTGATGGCCAAAGAATGAAACCCATGGACGTTAGCTCAGTTTTCACTAGTGTTCCTATCGCAGAGACCATTGAATATTTGCTTGACTAAATCCATGAAAAGAATATCGAAATTGCAGTACCCCGAGATGACTTGAAACAACTATTATAATTCTGCACACAGAAAGTTCAGTTTAAGTTCAATGACGAAAAATATCGTCAAAAGGATAGAGTCACAATGGGATTCCCGCTCGGTCCTCCATTTGCAGATTTGTTTATGTTTAAGCAATGCAAGCTGTAAAGACGATATGTCGACAATATATTATGTTTTGTGGACAGAAACATCAAGATGTCCAACTTGCTCAGGATATTTAATTCCGCTCATCCGAACATCACGTTCACTTTGGAAGAATAGTTTAAAGGCGGGATTGGTTTTCTCGACATCTGGCTAAAGCGTTGCACAGATAGTTCTATTCAAATATCGATTTATAACAAATCGACTTGGAGCGGTCAGTATCTTCATTTCAGAAGTTTTGTACCACTCCAAAGAAGAAGAAATCCGATTCCGTGTTTTGTAAACGGGGCGGTGAAAATATGCACCGATGACATCATAAATGTGGAACTATCATTCATTTGTGATGTTTTCCTACAAAATGGCTATTCAGAAAATTCTATGGATAACCTTTTATGAAATAACCGTCCGAGGGAAAGACTTTTAAACGTAGAGAAGCCTGTATACATCTCTCACCCATTCAAAGGGAACACAATCGCGCAGTTGGTTAGCCGCAAACTGAGAACTGCGTCGGAGAATACATTTCATGCTGCAAAATTATATGTCGTATTCACGTCCAGACGGTCGTGTTTGCAACTCAATGGCAGGATTCCTGTTTCTGCGGTTTCATTGTGTGTACTTGTTTACGTGCTCCTGTGGAGCAAAGTATATCGGCCGTACGAGCAGGTGACTATCTACACGAGTTCGGGAACACCATCCGGCCTGGCTGAACACTGGTGTAGTTAAAACGATTACAATTNGTGACTGAAGCATTTCGGCCTCTCTACCGTGTTTGGGGTCAGATCAAGGCCGATTAAAAACCACAGAGGCGGTTGGAATTCGTCTAGATAATAATCCCTGTAAGCCCAAAAGCAATTTGTGAAATCACTCAACCTACCCTGGCCTTCCACCTCCCATCTACATGCTCCTCTCCCTCCCCCTCTCAATCCCACCCCCTAATCACACAGGCAACACAGACCAAGGGTAAGTTCCGATGGTCGGACCAACCATATCAGGTTTTGTGAATCAGAGACAGAAAACAACAGCAGCAAGAATCCCCATTTGAATAATCATTGAATTTTGTTTCCTCTGTCCTATGCAAAATGATGTGATATGAAATGTGATGTATTAGCCAGTTGCTGAGTCACCGAAAATAAGCTTGTTCGCTAAACTCCGTTTCGATTCCATCTTACTATGGTTACCAGTGAGATTCACAATTAAATTGCGTGTACAAAGCGGGGGGCCCGTACTCATTCATCGAGAAAACGTACAATAAAATGTGTTCCGACTAATTGTTGAGGCGATTAAAGGCGCCTGAAATCGGCAATATGTTGAATCGCTCCGGCAGGACAAGATTTATTTTGCGCAAGCAATCCACGAGATCCGTGCACCAGATACTGCGAGTGCCACGGCCAGAGGGCTTCCTTTTATGCTTTCCCGACACTTTTTTCCCCGCAGCTTGCTATCATGCGATGAACTACTGAAGGCGAATTCACAGTCTTTCAAGCAATACGTAATCATCTTCGCCAAGGGCATCACATTTTTTGTCCTCATCCAGTCCATTTTCTCCCTTCTGTAATTTCGGGGCCTGATGCTAAGATTTAGTGGGTAAAACATGAATTTGCATTCGCTGCAAGTAGCCCTTGATCGAGCGGTTTGATTTAATCATCACGACATTTGAGGTAGGGAGCAAATTTGCCAACAGAGCAAAATTACCGCACCATCATCCCATCAATTTTTTTAATAATGAACTATTTGACCTTTTCTACTCGCCCTTGCCAAAGTTTTGTAAGTGTAAGCTTCACCCGTCTGTCGTATAAAGGTCATCATTCTGAAGTGTGCAAAAGGCATTCTTACAGTGATCGCACGATATTCCACAGGAAGGCATGCTTCATTCTCTTGCGCTGGGTTGCCTGACCAAGTGGATTTTCACATTGTCCTATTTTGTGAAATGTAAATCTATAACACTTTACTCCATGGTTGGGCATTATCGCAAAACCATGGATCACCACGATACCACATAACAATTGAAGATTCGTAAATTTTTGGGACAATAAGAGATATATGGACTGATTTTGAATATGACAATCTTCAGTGTTCAGAAACCATAGTAAAGCCAATAATTCCGTGGTAAGTTTGAGAGGTTACCTCCTACTCTAGTGAGCAACATGTTTTGTGCGTACTCATGACGAAGTGATTAGCAGATTCCCAAGATATTCACAAATGGACGAGACTGACGGAAGCAAATTAGTGGATTCAAGATTGCAGCAACGGAACATGCTAACAGATTGTCAAACCTCGATCACTGATCGACACTTTTTCATGGAACCGTGAAGTGCTGGTTCGGACTACACGTTTTGTTTTATTCAACCTGACTTGCCCTCTGCACATTTCATTCTTGCAATCAAAAACTTCCCAGTTCGATATTAGCCTTGCGGAATATCATCAGTGTCAATCGAGAGATGACCCCGAGAAGTTTTCTACACAGAACCATACAAATGATCATCTGGATATATAAAAGAACTAAAAGGTGATGGTTGAGCAGAATAAGGGGTCGGTTCCCGCGGGCGACCATCATCCTTTTCTACTAGTATTCCGTGACGGCTCCCAGGTAGCGGACCAGTACGGATTGTGTTCTAGACAAATCAAGGATAACCAAAAACCCAGGATATTTTTGCGGTCATTATTTTTCAATGGCATGAGATCTTTTTGCAAAGATTCTCTCATTACTTTATTGAAGCAACAAAGGAATAGAGGGTTCGCTGCAACGGTCCTCTTTTGCTCCCCCCTTTCTCCCTCCATATCTTGGCGTTCGGTAAAATTATTTAAGGGTCCCCGATAATTCTTTAGGTGGAAATAAATCAAAGTTGTCTGATGATGACGAAATACTAGGTGAACGGTCATCTTAGATTTTGGCAGGCTGAAAAATCCCACAAGGAGCTGTGTGGTAATCCTACGCCCTGTGACAAAGCCAGCAAAGGTGCAAGTCGATACAGCTTCAAACCGGTGTTCTGGCTCACTCATAGATCTTCTGGTTCAAACAGGAATTGCGGATTGAGAAGAACATGAACAACGATTAATCAATGCTGTTCGGTCAATGATATCTTTCTATACGCTACACACTATTGAATCATATTGATTTCATGCAAAAAGTGAACCACCACTTTTCCTCCGCCTTCTGTTCGTTCTTCGGTGGTGGAAGGTTTCGACATATAAGCTCCATTACGATTTTCTGTCTCGATTGTGATTCCGGTTCCAAAGTTGCTTCTATAATGAGTAATTCTGTTTCTTCTGAAGAAACCGTATCGAATCTCTCGGTTTCTTCACTATGATAATATATATATATATAACTGGTGAATTCTTGGTTTGTTTATGGTATTTCCCTATACGCAAGCAAGTGTTAAAGTAATGAAACAAGAGTTAATCATGAAAACCTCGGTTTTACTTTGCTAATACAATGTAATACTTTCAGACTATTTTTGCTCGAATACAACCGTTAGCATTTTGAATTTCAAAGTTTATAACGTAACGTATCCCCCCAAATCCACCAAAAAGAGTAAATTTCTGCATATGAAAGAGCAAATTCGAAGTAAATGATATGCACAGAATGTTGCTCGAGATTCGATTATCAAACGCTAGAGTATCTAAAATCGATGCGAACAGTTAAGTCAACATGCATCAAACTTCGTCTTCTTACAAACCCAATCATCAGTTTTCAGGTCCTTGAGAATATACTCTTCAAGCACTAGACTTGAGTTTACAAGTAAAGCTTATTTGCCGGCCCTATCAAACTGCAGGATCTAGAATTGATTAACCGTTTCTGATGATCATACCTGAATAAACTTAATGCGGTACTAGTGCTATGCTTCGGTACTACCGGGTTGGGTAGTGGTAGCACACACACACACACACCTTCCATCGCATGACTACCATCAGCAATTCTTGGATGAGTCGGTGGATGTGCATTGCTAGTGAGCTCTTGCGAGAGTGAAACTCGAGCATAGTGATCTCTGATTGAATATTTAGCTAAGGATTAACTGAGGTTTGTGGGTAAGCGTGAATTTCGAAAAATTTGGTTTGTCCAAATCCATAAAACACAGCCAAGACAACTGCCTATAAGTATGCGGCTGTAATACAAATTGGAATTCACAAACTGTATAAATTCATAACGAAAAGTCACAGTGATATAGAGAAAAGAGGAGTGAACTTTCTCACGAGAAACAATTGCACCCATGACAGAAGTTAAATCAATATTGAATATAAAATATATGATCTGCCAGAAAAGTTCTTTATTTTAGATGAAAGACAAATCCATTTCGCATTTGTATTTCGATTTCAGCAAGGCACACAAACTTTCAACTTAAAGAAAATCACTGTTGTAATGATAAACAGAAAATAAGATGCAAGTCAACAATTAAACGAACTGTAGTCTTCTAAACACACGCTTACTGTTTTCAGTTAGAATGCGGGCAAGATAACGAAGTTATCATGGAACTTGTGAAAGATATGCAAGATGGAATAAATCGATAGTGGACGCTGTTGGAGAATCGGATTTACATACAGACAGGTTGCTGTCTAACGAGTGGAATCTATGATCAGTGTGAGCGGGAGAGGTTGCTGAAAACTCATTAGAATATATCGGTGGTACATTTACAGCCCGGTTCTTACCGCTTCTCAACTCAATTGTGTTCAGCTGGATATCCTTTCTGGACATACCTGTACAGATACAAGTAGCAGTCCCTGTAATGGCCACATTGAAAATTCCGCTATCATACAGAGGTTTAGTGATCGCGCTGTGAGCGACCTACATACTAAAGCTTTTCAAATGCTGTATCCCCCTCCACCCCGGAAAAAAACATACCGCCCTTATACAGTTTTAAAATCTCCATACTACTCACACTGCCTGCTACACATACAGCACTTTAATATCCATCACCCTTGAATGGCAACAGTCTATGCAGTATTTCCGCTTTTTCGTTAACCACCTGCAGTATTTCGTTATTACTAGTGGTTCCTAAAACGTCGGACGTGATTGGTCTAAACAAGATCCATTTTAGATACAGAGAACGACCGATAATAACAATGACGACATTACTGATCACTTTCCATCTCTCTATCGAATCCCTCAAATGTGTTTTCAGGCTTCACGAATACGGGAGCGACCAATCAAAAGACTGTTGGGGGGTGCAATGGACTGACAAATTTGGACGGCCGGGGTAAGATTCAAACAAACGTACGACACGTGAGGCGATGTGACAATGACAACCAGATTGACCAAAGAAGCTATTTTACGAAATACGGTCAATCTCCTACTATATCGCACCCCTCAGGAATTCGAAAAAGTGGGTAGATTCCAGGAAGTGCGACATAGCAGGGTAAACAGTAGTAGATGCTAATAAGTAGTACAAAAATCGGTTGAAAGTTTTGCTAGGAAATAAACCGGAGCGATGAAAAGTAGGTTAATCCCGTTAGTTTTCCACAATATTTATAATTATAAACTGTTTATTTATAACGGAATTCAAATCTACCGTCCTGCGCATCCTGTATGTATCGAAGAAATTTAAGTCTTTTACAATGCCCTCAGCTTAATATCAACACATTGTACGCGGTATTCAGCCTTTTTCAGTTCCATGTGTCTAATTGTTCCGAAACAACCTACCTTTCTTCAAGGAAACTTTTTCTGACCCAATTATCCCATAATAATTCCATTTATTCCTCCATTCCTTTGCAACGTTAGGCTAACCACAGGATGGATCATATGACGTCCACCATAATATACAACTGTTTTGGCTATAATAATCGCAGCATTATTATTCCATTCAAGGAAAATAAAGGTGAACCAGTACGAATACAGTGAGAAGAAAATAACATCTAAAATGAGTGAAGTATCTGTTACGGGGTATACTCAGAACATTGACTTCCTTCCCATATTCAAACTGATTTTTCGTTGTGTAATCTATTCATGATTTTCTATTGAAAAAGGTCTATCATTAGCGTCTGTAGACATTTATTCTTTCGTTCGATTCTGTTGTTGCCAGTGTATGTTCAGGCCAATTGATGCATTCATCACGACCGTTGTTGGTCGGACTAAGTTCAACAGGCGATGCCGTGACGTGATGCATACAGGCATATCTTTTTCAATTTAAGATGGCCGAGTATCAATTTAATGTCATGTTGCTATGTGGATAGTACGATAGTCCGATTATTCCATCGTTTCGCATTGTCTTGTACTTTTTGTGATGATCTTGTTGTCATGTGCAGTTCATCCGCGTGGTGAAGGCACACCTGCTGTCCAACCGAAGTTCAATGGGTCTGCTAAAGACTCGCGG